AAAATCCAAAGCATCTTAACTTTTGTTGAATTGTGTCACAAAACTTTCCACGTTTATTGTTAGCTTACTTGAAGAAAGGGGATGTAAATCTTAATTTTCAGAAGAGCTCCAAAATGTATAATTATGGAAAAAGAAGATGAATACTTGCCTACTTGGAAGTTAAAATTAACTTGTTCCCTTAAAATATTACCTACATTAATTTTGATTATTTTCTCAAGAACCATAACAGAAAATTTTCAATTTGTAATAATCACAGACAGTGCTGACAATGTCATTTATGATTTTCTATGTATAAAAATCTCAGCTAGTGCTGACAATGCCATTTATGATTTAATTGCCTAAAAAACTTGGACTTGTAAAGATGTAACATTATGCTTCTAATGCTTTCTATTTGTTCTATATCCTTAGGTATTGCACCAGAATCTACATGACTTAAGTACTCCAGTGGTTTCTTCTTTCAAATTATTAGATCAGACTGTATTACAAAATAGCCAGTTATATGCAAAAATAATGTCAAAAGATCAAAGAAATTTGTTGTAGAAGTGCTACTCAGTTAAGAGTTGAGATACATACCCCCTGGTAAAAAACCAGCTGCAAAATAGCTCAATCCAATCAGTTGAGGTTTCTCAGAATGTGCAAAATCCATTGCATCTTCAAAAGGATTTTAAATCAGTGTGAGTAGAAGCAGGAACTTTTACTTCTCCTAGGAGAAAAGGAGATGAGTAATAACATAGTATGTAAGCTGTTGGTTGATACGTATAGATACAGGGCTAGAAAAACATGGACTATGTTAGCCTAAACTATCACTAAAGGAGATTGAGATATTTGGATTTCAGAATTGTATAGGAGGTCTCTTAGTAGACTTCTATATAACATTTCAATATGCCACCCCCTCCCAAATTTAGTCCACCAAAACAGAGATCCAAGCAAGACCCTATGGAAACAAACTAAAGGTTATAAGTTATAACAAGATCAAACTAATTTAGTGCAGGAAAAGTTTAAGTAAAAAAAAAAAGCAATAGAATATTTGAACAGAAAAAAAAGAAAGACGCGGAAGATTGATGGAACATGGAAGTGAATAATCTCCTTGCATTTTCCTCTATAATTTTGGTTTGGCTGATAGCTATAAATATAACCTTAGCAAGTGCACTAGTTATCAAGTAGTATAAAAATATCGTTCCCACGAGGATTTAACAAAATAAGTATTAGAACTACAGCCTTCCCTAATTATTTGGACAATCGAATTTCAGATTTGAGAATAAGAACTAATGAAA